CATGGTGATGTCCAGAATCTTCTGAACCCACCGGTCCAAACCTTAAACCCTTGGTGGTGCACACCGAGTTGCTGAAATAATGAAAAGAGAAGGATCAGCAACGACACGAAACAACTTTTTTTTTAGAAAAAAAAAGAGATAGATTTCAAACTTACGTGTACGAGTATAGGACTCGGGAAAGGGTGAAGTTGTNCCCCGAAAAATCTTGGGGGAGTAGAGATTCATCATATGAGCCAAGGTAAGCTCCTCCTGTGTTTTCTGGAATAGCAGCCGCAGACAGGCCACCGTTTGCCACACAGAAGGGCCCACCTGTGCCAAACAAACTTGGTAATGGTGGCACAACTACAAAATTACGAGGTCAATCCCCCCACTCAAAAACAACGCACCCAAAGTAAATGGGTACATATAAACATACATGAAACCCTTCTTAGAGAAGATTACTCGCTCTACCAGTTCGGGAGCAATAGTGTTTAGGTCGTGGCAATCACAGTTCTCCTTCACAGCAAGAGTGCTGGAAGGGCGGATAGAAGAAGAGAATTTGCCAACAGCCTAACTACGGGAATTTGAAGAAGGAAACTTCTCTTCGAAGTCCTTGGCTGTGTTGAGTTGTCTAGGGATGATGGTGCTCACCGTGGGGGGTGGGGTCAGCATCAACGTCAATTTATTTGTCTTTGCTCTACTTCGGGCCCCCACCGAAGAGAAGACCAGAGTTCTTGAAAGAATTAGCAAAGGAAGCCATGATCAGCGGAAGGTAGTAAGAGTTCTTTGAAGAAGGTTAAAGAAAGATGAAAGCAGCAAAGAATTGAATGCAAAGAAGTTGAGAGAGTTTGTAAAACTGTTAAGTGCAAAAGAAGAAGAATGAGGCATCTAAGTAAAGGAATAGGCGGCTAAAATCGTGGCCATGATTACCTCGAGAACTTGCGAAAATATCGCTAAACCGTGAAGTAACACGTGTTTGGGGTATTAAATACAAAGAGACGTGTGTCTTATCAAGCGTTAGAAACTTTTCAGAAGGGTTCAGAAAATTTTTCGCCAAGAAAGGAATCTTCACCAACTTTCCGACGATATAAAGATGTGCCACCGGAAAGCAAGGGACTATCTGTATATGGTAAAATCGTTCACATTAAATATTCGAATGATAAAGTGACACGTGGAACCGGGGACAGATGGAAGACGAAGCAAGTGAAAACCAAGACCGAGGACAACAGTTTTGGTTGGCATCGGGTAGACCCCGAAGGGTACATTATCAACAAGGCAAACAAATATTTGCGAGATGACAATCAATGAAGAATATTCCTCAGTATTAAATACACATCCATTACTGAGAATTTTGTCATTCATAGCTTGCATTTACATATTCATCAATGGCCCCCATTATTGTCATTTAAGAGGGGCTTGATCCTAGGACTTTGTTCTCTAGGTATAGCTATATATAGTGACTTCAACAACTATTGTAGGAGACGAAAATTCTGACAAACTTACGCTACACATTATTCCAAGCTAAATAATACTTTGTTTTCTATCTAACGATATTCTTATTGCTGCCTTCGGAAGCATTGCTCCCGAAATCAAGTTGTCTGCTATTTTATCTCAATTTCAACGCTAAGTCTTGCATTTTACTTAATTTATTTATTATTTTGGGATCAAATCGATTCGCTTATCTATAAATCACGCTATAAATTTAATTGTACCGTTTTACGGGTAAACAGTCTACTTCATTAATATCTAGGTGCTTTTATCCTAAGTTTGGTTGAATTTTTGAATCCAGAATTAGCAATCTCGGGATTAATTAATCCACAACTGAGTATTATTCTATCACACATTGAGGGTGAGATCAATTAATTTTGGGATCAAAACTAAAATGACAAAGATGCCCTTCGCCAAGGCTCTTCCCCCAAAGTCTTTTACACAATAAGTTAAAATTAAAAATAAAAATTTATCCAACTTATCTAGTATACACCAAACACATGTTTAAATTATACCTCGTGTATCCCTTTTTAGTCCAATGAACCAAACATTTTCCAATGAAAATATATTCACTAAATAGTCTCATTATTATGTAATCCACATATTATAATCTCGTCGTTATAATCCCGGATAACTTGTTCCCCTACCAAACAATCCCTTAGTGGACAACTTCCTGAATACGACAAGTTTCATCATTCAACTTTGTTCGAGATTCTTCACAATTTAAGGTCCTAAAGTGGATTACCAAAATTTTAAAGTTTATACAAATTTTTCAAGCCCAAGACCCTTTTTTTAAGACGAATTAACCCAAATATCCGTCCACATAACCGCTTAAAATAAAAATAGTTGTTAAAAGTATAATATATGCATAACTTATATATTATATATGTATAATTGTGTATAATAAATATATAAACTATATATATGGCTAAAAAAAAATAATCAATATGACCGGCTATTTGTATAAAGATCCCTTTTTTATATTTTGACATAGCTGATAGATGTTTGTCTGCAGCATGTTTGTATCGTCTACAAGAGGCTACGCCTATACAAAGAATCTGAAGTTGCTGAACTACAGAGTGATTAGGAATTCTCTTTTTACCTAGTCTGATTTAAATTATAAAATAAGTGTGGCTTCGTTGGGAATGAAAAAGAAAAAAAAATCTTTTTTCCTGTAATTTGCAGATTGCAGCAGTAAGCTTAGGAAATACAATTGACTGGCAAGCAAAAATAACCACCTGAAAAGCCTGCCTAGCAGTCGTTTATACGAGTCAATACGGTTCTATCTGCTTTCCTTGTAGCTAAACCCCTTAGAAAAACACCGTACTGTACTTTTAGGTTTTAACTAGTCGTTTCTCCTTTTTTGGCTTTACCTCTTTCATTTCCTAATTTACATTCACCATTTGAAGCATTTCATACAATTCATGAAGTTATTTGTCTTTTTTTCATTGGAAATGACTCGATCACTAGTCTTTCAACTTAAGCAAAAACTCCATTATCAAACCTATTTCCACCATACTTCGAAATATGATGGATCACGGGGAGCTAGATTATAAGACATCTAGGGTTAAGTTGAAGCTAGAAGCACACAATGGACAGTCATTTCAGAAAGTGTCCGCAACTCCTAGAGTCCCCCTTTCCTTTTTATTAGATGTGTATTTTTCCCTCAGACATCTTTGTGTTTTATTCAGACCTTTATTTGTACTATTCTAGTAGCTCGTGCACTTGTGACACCGGGTCCAGGGTTGTATTAGATATTTCAGTTGTGATGGCTTGCACATTTTTACTTTAGATTATTATAGTTATTTCAGTTCTCTCTTATCATATCATTTGAATTGTGAAAATGGATAAATTGTTCTAACATTGGCTTGCCTAGCAAGTGAAATATTAGGCGCCATCACGGTCCCGACGGTGGGAATTCCGGGTCATGACAAGTTGGTATCAGAGCACTAGGTTACTTAGGTCTCACGAGTCACGAGCAAGCTTATTAGAGTATGCAGGGTCTGTACGGAGACGTCTGTACTTATATTATAGAGGCTATGGAGTCTAGTAACAATTTCACTTCTATTCTTCTCTGTCGTGTGATTTTATTCTATCATTGATAATTAAACTCTTCTATTCTTGTTCTCTTATAGATGGCAAGAGTACGTATTGCATCCTCAGCTAGACAGTAGCCGGAGCCTCGAGTGGCAGCTCCTACGAGAGGTAGAGGTCGAGGTTGCGCCAGAGGCCGAGGCAGAGGAATAACTCAGCCTAGAACTCGAGCAACAACACCATCAGTGGAGCCTCACGTAGATTTTGATGAGGAGGTTCCAGCTCAGACTATACCTGTGGGACCAGTTCAGGTCCCGGAGGGGTTCATCGCCACCATAGTGCTTCAAGACGCTCTAGTCCGTTTGGTGGGCCTTATGGAGAGTGTGGCCCAGGCCGGTACATTTCATATGGAACCAGCCGTCTCTCAGGTATCATATTTTGAGACTGGGGGCTCGGATTGAGATGATTCTTGAAGCAATTTTAACCATGTGACTTGGGGTAAGCAATCTTGACTCACTTGTGATTATATTGCATGATTTTATTTTCGCTTTTGGTAATTGGATTATGGATTTTTAAGAGGAAATTGGGGGGGTATTTTGCCTAAAACTTCATAAAGTGAATTTTTGAGTTTTGAATATTGATTCGGAGTCGGATTTGAGTGAAACTAGTATGGTTGGACTCGAAATTGAATGGGTTGTCAGATTTTGTAAGTTTCATCGAGTTCCGAGGTTCGGGCCCGGGTTGGACTTTTGAGTTGATTTTGAAAATTTTATTAAAGATTCGACCTTTATCGATTGGGTTTGTTTCCTTTGGCATTATTTGATATATTTGAGTTGTTTTGGCTAGTTTCGAGCCGTTCGGAGGTCAGTACGCACGGGATGAAATTTTTGAAGCATCGCTTGGCTTGCCCAGCATTAGATTTGGCTTATTCAAGGTAAGTAACACTTCTAAACTTGGAGCTGAGGGTATGAACCCTGATTATTCGTGTTATGTGTTTGGTGTTGAGATGACGCACATGCTAGGTGACAGGCGTTTGGGCGTGCACCATGTGAAATGTGACTCTGATATTTTTGTGGTACTGTGTAGTTACCTAATCTTATCTAGAACCATGAAATCTCTACGTACTAGAGCTTTTGAGCTTTGATTCATGCTAGAAACCATGTCTAGACCACATGCTTATTCTGCTAGGACCCACCTAGGTCATTGCTACTGTTGAATTATTTGCTTACATTGAAATTATAAACTCAGAATCCTACTAGTGGGGTCTGGGGAGGGTAGAATGTACGCAGAGAATCTTTATATATTGATATGCCCTGAGTTAACTGCATAAAGTCTCTCAGCGATAGCTATTGCCGTAGGCAGTAGGAGAATGTTCTTGATTTCATGAATTTTGGGACCAAGAAAACTGAAAGGTAATATTCAAAACAGAACTTCAGGTAAACCAGCCTGCATCATCACACACTTTGGCGTAACAAAAGAGTCAGATAATCCATTCAAACTTTGTTCAACTCCACGTAAAAACTATGCAAAACTTCTAATGACACACCAAAACCAATCTAATTAACATTACAGTATCCAGTGCTAAACAAGTATGATTGGACAAGTGTACCGCACCCCAAACTATAACAAACAAATATTACACTGGAAAGTATGGTTCAACATGTGGACACGAATTGTGACCACAGATGCTGGAACAACAAATATCCATGAGGGCTGTGCCAAGACCACTTTAATATATATTGAATCACATTGGAAGAATAACAACTTGAGGGGGATGGGGGTGGGGGGTGGCCCTAAAAATAACACAAATCCTCCAGAACAAAACCTTGTAGATGACATACCAAATTTACAGTAGCATTCTGGATGAAGGTGCAAAGACTCACGGAACATACCCAATATCCTTGAAGTACTCATGCTCAAGGGCATTCCTGGCAGTGATTCTCTTGCTGGGATCCAAGCGGAGCATTTTCTGAAAGAATAATAAGTGAAGACATGATTAACACAGGACAAGGGATTCTGATAATAAACTGAAGTCTCTGGATAAAATATTATATAATTTTAAACACCTACTAATTGTCCATGCCTAAGATTAGCACAAAAACAACTCATCGAATTTGCTATACGAAAATGGTTGATAAACACATAAAACAACTGAAACCCGACTGTCTCATTCTCCAATACATGTTATCCAAATAAAAATGGAAGAAAAGGAAAACGGAAAAGAGTAAAGGAGACGTACGATTAGAGGGTAGTGAAGGTCATAGACTAAAGACACCGAAGCATGTATATAAACATCATGTTCAAACTTCAGAAGGAAAAAGAAAAAAAGGGAAACATGAGTGCAGTAGTTTGAACTTCCCCTACCTTTTAGAAATATTATTGGGCAAAATTCTTACTGCTATGAATTGTTCAACGTGCTTCAAATGCGAACTGGATGTTGCAACTTCAAGGCTAGATGTTCAAACAACCAGCTAGTTCTGGCCACTTAATGAACATTTCAACTAGAATAGTTCTCATGAAGAATCAGGCACACATGCTGGAGATACATTCAAAATTCACGTAATATTCGTACTCATAAGATGTATCTTTCATTTGTGAGTTAGTAAAACTTACATCAAGAAGATCAAGGCCTGCTCCATCAAGATTTGGGACAATAGTTGCCAGGTCCTGCAAATATGAGGTGATCCAATTAAGTACTTCACAGAATGAGATTCTTGAAATCTGGTCAGAAATCAAGTAAAGACAAAGAGAAACAAATCACCTTAGAAGGCCATTTTGGGAAGGCAGATTTAAAATCAGGCAGAGTTGTCACTCCAGGCCATGTATCCTCATTTGGAGTACCCATCACTCTTCATATAGAGAAAATTAGAGAACATACAGACGGAAAAATCTAATAACGTAGAGCACAAGGAACAAAAAATTGAAATTCCTTATAAGCGAAAGCTCACTGAAATTATTGATAAATTTCAGTAAAAATCATAGCCACCAACCTATAGACAAAAGAAAGACAAACTATAGCACAAACCCAATTTTGAAACCCTCCCACACCCCATAGAGCAGTAAGAAAAGATAGATCAATTAACAAATAAAACTGCACGTCAGCCAGAACAAATGAAGATCACACTGAAGGATCAGACAGCTAAAACTAAAGTTACAGAGAACTTGAAACCATACTTTGTTTAGTAAATCCCGTTCCAATAACCTTTTTTTTTTATAACCAACTTTACCTTATTTAGTCAGAGATTTTGGACTATGATGCATGATAGATTTGGAAAAGTCATGACGGTGAAGCAAAATTTTACATTATGAAAACATTTTCACCATCAAAGTATCACCATTTACATTCTTTTTGTCAGTAATAAAGCATCCACAAAAGGACGGATGTGTAAATTAACACCTGAAAATCTTGAAAAGTTCATCAATCTCGGAATCACCAGGAAACAGAGGGCGCTGAGTCACCATCTCAGCAAATATGCAACCAACTGACCACACATCAACAGGAGTAGAGTAATGGCGCGATCCCAGCAGTATTTCTGGTGCCCTGTACCACAATGTCACCACCTGAAGGAAGGAAGTCAAGCATCAAAATTCAATCAAAACAACATATGGATAAAACCCTCAAATGGGTTCTGGATCTTGGAGAAGGAAATATGAAAGATACAGACTCCACTTTTTAGACGATTGATGGACAGAGTTTGGAATACAATCTCTTCGAATTTATCAACTAAACTAATAGAATAACTTAAAGCTAGAAATGGTTAAACAATACACCATAGAGAAAGAACTTGTTCAGTTAGACAAATTGGAAAAAATCTTGAAAAAGATATCAGACATGACACCAGTTTCGGCTCATAGTCAACCACTTTCTTGTCAGGCTTGAAATGGAATATGAGACAGCAGACAAGGTAATACAATAAGAGTAGGTCCAATGAATCTTTTAGACAGTGAAAAACATGTCTGTACCTCATGAGTGAAAGTTCTGACAGGAATACCAAATGCTCTAGCCAATCCAAAGTCTGCAAGCTTTAAAGCATTTGTACGTCGATCTATCAGCAAGTTTTGAGGCTTCAAATCTCGATGAAGAACTCTATGAGAATGACAATAGGCAATACCACGGAGTATTTGATACAAAAACATCTGCAGAATCAGAAATATTACTTCATTGCTGATCATAAAGAAGAAGCATGTGAAACTGATAAACCTTAACCAATTGAGTCACAATTTATCAAATAACAAATCAGATAAGATTTATTTTTCAGTATATCTGCTTAGGGCATCGCCCTCCCTCTTGAAGTAAGACTGTAAACAGAGATACAAGTTATGACCAGCTTCCTGGTGAAGCAACAAAACTATCAAATGGTGACAAAGCAAACCTCCAAAGTATCATAGACATTTTACTCACTTTAACCAGACGTGGATCCTCAGAGAATTCAGGAGATGAATCCATGTGCTTCTTCAAGTCCAAGTCAAGATATTCAAAGACTAGATATAATCGCTTCTCACTGTGCACTACATCCTGCAACCTGACCAATAAGAAAAAGGAACTTTCTTGAACTTGTAGGAGATACTGGTACAAACTAGAGAAACAGTTTTTCTCACGTTACAAAAGATGCTTTAACATTGCCACTGAAGGTACAGATATGTATGCCGTGAATCTCCTCTAATCTCTAATTTCTTCTAATTCAATCTGCCAAACCAAACAAGAGACCAATCCCTTTTGCACTTACAGTTGTTAAAATAATAATGAAATGGCTGTCCAAGCATCATTCTAGTTTTTCTTTTCCTCATCTCTCATCATCATGCAGACAACTACTGAACCTTTCAACCAGTTTCTAAACCTTTCATATGTATAATGACCAAATCATCTTCTGTTGTCAAATGTCCAAACCCACAAAACAGATAAAGTAATTAACAAATAAATAAAAAGTTAAAAAACAAAGCTTAGCTAACATACAATTTGATAGAAACTTAAGGTTATATGAAATATTACGAAACTAAAGCTTAAATATTCCTAAAAGTTCCCTATCTGCTAATGCAGGAATGACTGCTGAGTGATGGACTTCTTTGCTTTTTAAACATTCTACCTTCAAAATATGTTACTGGTTATTGCACAATTGAAAATGTGTACATATGGTTTTAACCCATACATGCGCAACTTCTACAGCATTTCACTTCTAAATAAGTTGTTGAAATTTCCAACTGAAGAATCCAAGTAATGCCATATAGCTTTACCTTCCGTACTACAAGTTGCCTACAAACAATTGGAGTATAACCAGTAAGAAGTAGAAGTTACCAAACCCAATCAAACTTGAACAAAAGCTGGATATAGTAGTAAAACTAGCAGAAAAAATATATATTCCATGAGGATTCCCCCAGGATATATTGAAGCAATAAGTTTCTACTGCTAGATCCTGTCCCAACGACCCAATGTAAGATGCATCGGATTCTCTTCATCAGAGGACTCCTTGTTGCAGCATTCACATAAGATTGGTATTTAAAAGAAGTTTTCATAAAGTGAAAGAAGCCGGTAAAAGGAACAGCATCAAGCACAGAGTCACAGAAAGCAAATCCAAATTCACTCTATAAAGAAAATTAGAATAGTGAAGACCTAGCAATGATTTTAATAGAGGAGCATACCAAAGCTCAAATGTAACCAACATCACATCGATAGCATAATCACAAGAAACCTAAGTACAGCCCAAATACACTCTCATCGAAATCGCAATATGAAATCACATAGTAATATCACTAGATTATACCTCACAATATTAGCATGCTGCATCTCTTTCAAGAGAGAGATTTCTCTAATAGCTGTGCTTGGTACTCCCTCATCTTCCTGCTCCAGCCTTATTTTCTTCAGCGCAATTGTTTCATTAGTTACACGATCACGAGCCTTGTACACTACACCGTATGTTCCTTCCCCAATCTTCTCAACTTTTTCATACTGAAATTAGCCTCAAAATCACTAAAAAATAAGAGTGATCCTAAACCCAAAAGCGACTAAAGATACAAACCACAACTCCTTTACCTGGTCCATCTAGGTCAAACTCAATGAACTCCCTGAAAAGGAACGAAAAACAAAAAAACGCAGCGATTTTCAGACAGCAAAGTAGTAAGCAAATCAAGCCATACAATCGAAAAGCTAATCCAAAATATGGTATATATTCGACTATCAAGTATGAAGTGACATATTAAGCACATTTTCACTTCAATGCAGACCCGAGCAAGTTATTTAATTGCAATTTTCGCACTTAAGAGTCTGACTACGACGAGAAAATATCATAAAAGTGTGTTTGGCATGACAGAAAAGGCTTTACTCTGAAATTTTAGTGTTCGGTTACTGAAATAGTCAAAATGTTTTCTCCGTACTACATTGCAACTTCAAACTTAGAAAATATTAGTAATTAATAATAAAAATAAAATTAATTAGGGAAAATCAATTTCAGTTGGTTTAAATGCTCGTCCGATAAGAATGGCTAGTCCGCAATTTCAATTGAAGCAACTAATATACTAATCTCGCTTATATTACAAACACCACACTGTTAAACATCACTACATCAGAGATCTCCAATTCAATCAACACATTAACCAACTCAAAGCATATAATAAACCGCAAACAGATAATTGAGAAAAACGGCAAATGTATTAGATATAAAAATGCTACATTATTCAAATTTCGCGGTAATCAGTAGATAAAATCTAATAAAGCTTCAAATCTGTTGATTTACAATTTACATACAAAAATGACGAAACAAAAATGGCAGTAAGTCATATGTATAGTATGGTGAAGTTGTGTGTCGCCATCGTAAGTAGAAATGAGAAAGGGATTGGGGAATGTGGAGTCACCTTTGGTCGGATAAAGAGGACGAAATCGCCGTCTTGAAGCGGAGGAGGAGGCGACGGGCAAGTGTCGGCGTACTTGTACCAAAATGTTTGGACTACAGTCAATACTCTTCTTTTGCTTCTATTTGCATAGAGGGCCAAAATGCATTTCACTATTTCATTGCTTTTTTATTTTCCCTTCTTTCCTTTTTAATAATGTAATTTCTTTGTTTTGTTTTTGAGATTCTAAAGAAACTGATATGAATATTACTAGTTATAACAATGATCAATATAATAGTAATATGATAATTGAGAAAATAGTATTACAAATTGAGATAATTGTTCGAGGTCTAAAAGATTATAATAGTAATAAAAGATCCTTGTAGAGCTCTAAACAGTTAATCTTAAAATATTTTATTCTCGTGGTTGCCTAGTGGTGTTTAGATTCATGCCTAAAATGAATTTTAACTTTTTCTTTTATAATAGTGGATCCTCAAATCTAGCTACCATTAAGGAGCATGGTGAAATAGTTTAATCATTTTACCTTTAAACGGCGGTCTCGAGTTATAATTTGAAAAAAGAAAAAGAAGAACTATCCATTTATCTTGGTCGGAAGTTATTTATCCCCTTTAGTAGACCTATCGAACACGAATCCGGATTAATAGAGTCATTAAATTTGAAATACTGAATACCTAAAGGAAAAATTAATTAAAATATAAAAAACACTTCCTGATAACAATTTTTTTTTTTGCCCATTTGAGGGGGGAAAATAGCTACTTCTACCATTGTACGCCTTATAAAGCAAGCGTGCTCCTGGAAAAACGAGTAAATTGTGTGAACATCTAAACTTACTGCATTTAAAATGAATGCCACGTTAATTAAGAGGATTATAAGTTTTTCTTGTACAAAGTCATTATGGTTGGGGAAAATTGTTTCGACATTGTTAATTAGGTTTAAAAGATATATTCAACCCTCTCTATAACAGTCTCGTTTGTTCCGATATTTTTTGACTTTTATAGTGAATGATTGTTATACACCTATAATTATTATATATATATATATATATATATATATATAAAATAATATATATGTATTATTTAATAATAATATTTATTTCTTAAAAAAAGGAAAAAGAATTCTATCTTAAATTTGAATTCAACCGTTGCCTTCTGTGAAACTAACTAAAGTGTTTTTCTATGAGTAACTAACTCTTAGTTAATTGCATGTTTAAATTTAAATAAAGCACCCATTGGCAAAGGTCATAAACCTTGTCTATATAAAGGGTATTCTATAGAAGTCTTAAACAACTTCTAAGCAATCTTATATACAACATCTCTCTGTCTATTATTAGATCTATTTATATACATCAAATCTTCGTTAATTACTTTTTTCCAAATCCTTCATTCTTTTGGGTTGAGTTCTTGTGGTTGGGAAATCGAAGAGTGCGATTTTGATTTCTAGAGTAGGCATTGTATCCTAGGGATAGATTTTCCTTTAACCATTTGCGCTGTGTGGGGTAAATTACTATCCTAAAGATAGTTTCCTGAAAACGCCTTGTCTACTCGTTTCAGATTTCTTATTAGATTGTCTTGCTTGAGTTTACTCCATTGGTTTATTTTCAATATATTTATATAACAATTTTAGGATAGTAATATTCTGATTCAATGGACTCTTCTTTGTCGGGCAAACAATTTCAAGATGTGGCGAGGCTTGAAAAGTTCAACGGGATGAACTACAAGCGTTGGAGTATGAAGATGATGTATCAATTGACGATTGCGAAAGTCTACTATGTCTTGACTTGTTCATATCCTCAAGACGGAAAAGTAGATGGGCAGCTTTCGGACTCACAGCAAAAATGGCTTGAAGATGATTTTGTGTGCCGCTCAATGATCCCGAATGCAATGAGTAATGCCCTCTTCAATGTGTTTCACAAATGCTACCCTGCATATGAGTTGTGGGTTGCCATCTCGCGAAGGTATGTAATAGAAGATGCTGGAAATAGATCCTTCTTAATTAACAAGTATATTAATTTTAAGATGGATGATTCCAAACCTGTTATTGATCAAGTAAATGAATTAAATAAAATTGTCTCTCAATGTGCTGATGTGGGTGAGCCAATTACTGAGACTTTTCAAGTTTCTAATATTATTGGTAAATTTCCTCCTTCTTGAAAAGATTACCATATGAAATTAAAGCACAAGACGGCGTCTCTAAACTTGGATCAATTACTTCAGCATATTCAAATTGAGTATGAGGCTAGAAATAGAGATTTGCTTGTTTACAATGGAAAGGATAAAGTGCATAATATTGAAAATTTCACATCCTCCAAATCTGCTAAAACCAAGGTCAACAAGTTTCACAATGGAAACAAGACTTCTGATTATAAAAAAAGATTTGATTCCAAGAATGGTATTAGTAAGAAGAACAGAGGACATTGCTTTGTATGTGGTAAAATGGGACATTTGGCTAGAGTTTGTAAATTTCGCAAAGGTAAGAAAGGTAAGAAAGAAGAAGCCAATGTCATGGAGCAAGAAGAAGAAATGGTTGATGTTCTTACTGAAATTCTTATGATGCATAGCAATGAAGAATGGTGGTTAGATTCTGGAGCAACTTGCCATATCACTCCATTCAAAAGTGGTTTCAAAACATATGAAGATGTAAAGGATGAGAAAACGGTTTACATGGGCAACTCCGCCACTTGTGCTGTTATGGGAATTGGCACTATGCAGCTTCCGCACCCTCAAGAATGTTCATCACATTCCTGGAATTAGGAAGAGTCTTGTTTCTATTAAAAAACTTGATGATCATGGTTTTAGAGTAGCATTTGATTCCCAAAAAGTTATTATTTCCAAGAACGGATCATTTGTTGGGAAAGGATATGCTAAAGACAATATGTATGTTTTAAGCATGAATAAAGTTTCAAGTGCTTCTGCTTATATTGTTGATGATGTGAATGTTTTTTGGCATTATAGATTAGGTCAAATAGGTAGTAATGCAATAAATCGCATGATTTCATATGATTATTGTGATGATCCAAAAAGTCATTTTATATTTTAGAACTCGAATCTGCGCTCTTAAGACTTAAAAATCTTATTTTTACCCTCCTCAATTTGCGTACGCAATCCGAACATGTTTCCGGAAAACTTTTATGTTGAAATTTGATGAAAATAAGAATTTATGCCTTAAAAGTTAATTTTAGTTGATTTCGGTCAATATTTTTGGTAAACGGGCCCGAATATGTGCTTTGACGATCCCGGTAGGTTCGTATCGAATTATGGGACCTGGGCGTATGTCCGGAATCGAATTCGGAGGTCCCTAACTTGAGTTATGAATTTTTGATGAAAATTAAAAGTTTGAAAATTATTTGTTTTTAAGAATTGATTGAAATTTGGCATTTTTAGTATCGGGTCCGTATTTTAGTTTCGGAGCTCGGCACAGGTTTATTATGATATTTAAGACCTGTCTGTGAAATTTGGTGAGAAACGGAGTTGATTTGACATGATTCGGACGTCCAGTTGAGAAAATAGAATTTTTAAAGTGTTCTTGAGAATTTCATTTGATTTGGTGCTAAATTCGTAGTTCTAGGTGTTATTTTGGCGATTTGGTCACGCGAGCAAGTTCGTACGATATTTTTAGACTTATATGCATATTTGGTTTGGAGCCCCGAGGGCTCGGGTGAGTTTCGGATAGGCCACAGGATGTTTTGGACTTGGGAAAAATCTGGTTTTCTGCAAATTCTGATGTCTGGCATATCCTCCTTCGCGTTCGCGAAAGTCCTCTTGCGAACGCGAAGAGTAAACTGATGAGGTAGGGATTTCTTATTCGCGAACACGAAGGCTTGGTCGCGAACGCGAAGCGATGGGGGTGTTACCCTTCGCGAACGCGACAAGCCCATCGCGAACGCGTAGTGTTAGGCATTGGGGAGGGGGAGTCAGCCGTTCCTTCGCGAACGCGAGAAATGCCTCGCGAACGCGAAGGCCAGGGGAGAGTAACCATCGCGAACGCGAGCTGGGTCTCGCAAACGCGAAGGCTTGGCAGCCAGTACCCTTCGCGAACGCGACAGTGCTCTCGCGAACGCGATGAACACTGTCACCCAACACTTAACAGAATCCTAAAAAACGGGAATTTTGCCAAAAAATTCATTTTCTCAAAATCCAAACGGTGAGAGGTGATTTTTCAAGAGTCATTTCTTCCCCAAATTATTGGTAAGTAATTCTAAACCATTTTATTTCAATTACCCATTACATTTATTAAATTATCAACCTAAAATCTAGAGTTTTCATGGTAGAATTAAGGGTTAGGGTAGAAACTAGAAATTTCGGAAATTTGGGGATTTAGACCTCAATTTGAGGTCGGATTCCAAAACCAATTATATATTCGGGCTCGGGGGTGAATGGGTAAATGAATTTGGGTTCGAACCTCGAATTTTGACCAAGCGGGCCCGAGGTCGATTTTTTGACTTTTTGGAGAAAAAATTGAGAAATTTAATTTATGCAATATAATTGATTCCTTTAGCAGTATTTGATATTATTGAGTCATTTTTGAATAGATACGAGTGGTTTGGAGGTGAATTCCAAAGGAAAAGCTGTGATTGAGAATTAAGTGGCCTTCGGAGCGAGGTAAGTGTTGTGTCTAACCCTGACTTGAGGGAATTAGGAACCTTAGATTACTTGCTAAGTGAAATTCATGTGAGCGGCGTATATGTGAGGTGACGAGTACCTGTTTTTTATGTTTCTCTATTTTTCTTGTATTGTCTCATTCCTATGCCTAATTGCTACGTGTTATACTAGTGTTGTTCAATTTATCGTTCTTATTATGTTTACGAACTTTCTGGTGATAATTGAGTTTTTTTTATTTCAAGTTGAGATTGATATTATGGAACCAAATGTTAAACTAAAGTTTGTACTTGTTAGTCTATCTCCATGTTGTTATTTATGCATTGCATTATTGTAAGGGAGAGTGTTAATGCACGAAGGGTGATGCCGTGCCATATTGTGAGTGCTAATGCATGAAGGGTGATGCCGTGCCATATTGTGAGTGTTAATGCACGAAGGGTGATGTCGTGCTATATTGTGAGTGTTAATGCACGAAGGGTGATGTCGTACCATATTGTGAGTGTTAATGCACGAAGGGTGATGCTGTGCCACATTATG